AAGCAAAGACAATGGAATGTTGGAAATATATCTGGAAGTGCAGAGGTACATCCACTTATCCTTCACCCAGGGGACAACTTTCCAGCTGGTTTGTCTTATAAATGGAGGATCACAACTGGTCTGGTTGTTTAACACAGAGAGAAACTTTGTGTGAGCTAACCTTTTTGAGAAAAAATGTCTCGTTTGTTAAGTTTAGGCTCTAAAAAGCATGTTACGATTTTATTTTATATGTAACCAGGTGTGTCCATTAATTCTACTACTTTAATTTTTTGTTAAACAAACAAACTACTTCTTTTTACTAAAAATATTTAAATGCTGTGTGTTGAGCAGTGTGGTGATCCTGAGGTATAACTGGTAAGTAGATGTGTACTATTCCTTTGGGAGTAGCAGGTCTGTGAATTCTGAGTGTCCAGTGGAACGGGGTTGGGCACTGCAGGGGGACACTCGGAATGCTCAGGCGTAGGAGTGTGCTTTTGTTAACATGTACAGAAAGAGCTGGGCCTGCAGAGGTCTGGAAGGCAGTGCTTCTGTTGCCAGAGTGGGGGAACTGACCCCCAGCAGGCAAAGCCAAGGTTTCCTCACACTAAGGGCAGGTGTTAGCGAGATGCTTCACAACTTTGGGTACCACCCAGAGTTGTCACACTCACAGTTCTGTCTTGATATTTTCTTGGTATATGTTATCTGGGGCTCTTTGTAAGCATCTCACACACTCTCTCGCCAACCCAGTATAAAACCCACTGCCAAAAGCACCTTTTTGTCAGTATAAGCGGTGTCTACACTAGGAGGGTTTGCCAGTGTAGCCATACCAGGGTAGACTATGCTTCAGTCTATGTTTAATTTCCCTCAGATAAATACTACTTACCTACCTCACAGGAATGTTATGTTTGTTAAATAATGTTTATTCAACCATTTTAAAACATAAAATATGTCATCATCATCTTCACTTCTCTAAGAGACCATCAGGAAAGATTGAGAGATATCTTGAGACACAAGGAAGATACTCCACCATATCAACTTCTTGAAAGTCAATAGGGTTCCACAAGAAACGAAGTCCAGGATCAGGGCTCTGGTTCATCAATGCCTCCTAACTGCATTTTCCTCACTTTAATCAGATTCCTTTAGTAACATTTACAGCACTATCTTGTTTGTGTTACCAGAAAGCTTTTCTGCCAAATTCGGTCTGCTATTACAAACTACAATTGAAAGGGTTCTTCTCTGTTTGCAACCCGCTGTTAGTAAGGATACAATTAAGTCTTATTTTTAGAAAAAAAAAAGTGAAATGGTATTTATTTGAAACACTAGAAATAAGCATGAGCAGCGATTTTGATGGGAGAAGGGTACCTGAGAGTAAGTTTATGTTTCAGAGAGTTTATTTATAGGGCCCTACCAAATTCATGACCATGAAAAACTTGTCACGTACCATGAAATCTGGTCTCCCGCCGTGAAATCTGGTCTTGTGTGTGCTTTTATCCTATACTATATAGATTTCACGGGGGAGACCAGCGTTTCTCAAACTGGGGGTCCTGACCCAAAAGAGAGTTTGCAGGGAGGTCACAAGGTTATTTTATGGCGGGGGGTCATGGTATTGCGCTGACTTCGGAGCTGGGCGGCCGGAGAGTGGCGGCTGTTGGTTGGGCACCCAGCTCTGAAGGCAGTGCCTCGCCATCATCAGTACAGGTTTAAGGGTGGCAATATCATACCATGCCATCCTTACATTTGTGCTGCTGCTGGCAGTGGCTCTGCCTTCAGAGCTGGGCACCCAACCAACAGCCGCCACTCTCCGGCCGCCCAGCTCTGGAGACAGCGCCACTGCCAGCAGCAGTGCAAAAGTAAGGGTAGCAGTACTGTAACCCCCCTACAATAACCGTGTGACCCTCCCCCCCACAACTCTTATTTGGGTCAGAACCCCTACAATTACAACACCATGAAATTTCAGATTTAAATAGCAGAAATAATGAAATTTACAATTTAAAAAATCCTATGATCGTGAAATTGACCAAAATAGATCATGAGTTTGGTAGGGCCCTATTTATTTGCAATGAAATATAAAAAATAATGAAGACTGAACAGTACTGTAAACATTGATTGTTATGATTAAAAAGGAAATTTAATAGCTTTATAGAATTGATGCTTCTTCATTAGTCTTCTCAAGCAATCAGCTAATACGGTGCTCCACACTGGGGACAACAATAATGCCATTGAAGTCAATGGAACTACTAGCACGCCCAAAGATATGTGCATGCATTACTGTTTGCGGGACTGGGTTCCATCTACCTACTTAAGCACTTGTAGTAGTGCTCTTCACCATAGTATCTGAACACTCTCCGGGAGCAGGTGGCCTGATTTTCCTCCCTAATTCAACTGAGGAATAAACAGAATAAACAGACACCTTTATCTCCACAACATTTAATAAACTGTAAACTTTTATCCCATGAAAAACACTACTTGTTATCATAAACTGATTTATTCTGTATTGAAGAACTTGGGACTTTTCCTCCTCAGGCCAGTGGTGGTGAGACTTGTAGACACTATAAGGCGTGTACCCCTAACACTGTTCTTTTGTACCCACTATCAAACTGAAAGTGCAGGGTCACTAATCTTGCAGGAGTCAGCTTGCCATTCCAGCATGTTTAGCACTAATGAAGGTTGGAGGAGATCATAGGAGGGAAAATCAGGCCAAAATAAAAAATACCGTGGTTCCCTGCTGTGATCATCCCAATATTCTTGAACAACTGCCTCAGAGAAATGAGAGCCTCCTTGGCATGCAGCCTATTTGGGACAGATAAGGGATAACTTGATGCTTGAATGTCTGGGGCTCTTCTAGGTCAAAGTGAAGTGAAATGAAATCTAATTCCAAATGTTAAGGCAGTTTAGCTGCCTCTTCAGCATCTACCAGCTGTACCTGTTAAATTTTAACTTGTGGTTGTTTATTTTAATTTTTTCTTTTTATTAAAAGGAGGTATAAAATGATAATGCAAGAATGGGACTGGGGACAGAAGAAGGAAAATTAATAACATTAAAATAGGTTAAAATAATGCCAAAAAAACAGCTTTTACAAAAGCATTTACAGCACAGGAGAGTGAACATAAAATCAATGGCATCTCTGATGTGAGCCATGATGAAATTATGCTAGTTTATGCATTAAGAAAAATTCACATACAAAACGAACATGAAAATATAATTGGATTTGTCATTTCAAAGTACTAGTATCAGATTTCCAGATAATAAGGGGTGACATACTCCTATGCTAATAAAGGGAGTTAGCCAAATAAACAAATGCTGTGTTTCTACTGTAAGGAAATACATGTACCAATGAAGCAACCTTTTCAGCACAAAAGTAATTTAATACTCAAACCGCATGAAAAGTGATCTTTATGGGAATAGCACAGCTGCTAAAATCCAAGTCAGTTTTTATTAAATCATCAGGTCTGTTTATGTAAAACAGGGCTCTTTTAAATGACCACCAAGAGGAAATCATTTGCTAACAAAAACTGATATCTGCATTTAATTTAATGGTTGGGGGTGTGAGTGTGAGTACACACATCAGAGCTGTAGGTGGTCAGTAGCTCTAGTCATAGGGTAGAAGAACAGGAGGTGAAAAAGCTACTTAGGTGGACAGACAAATTTAGTATGAAATATCAGATTCCGTACTTTCAAAATAAACAAGATAAACTGATTAACTTTCTTTTATAAAACAAAACACCTAGGATGACACCCATATAGAGTACCTCTGCAAAAACATACTAGTGGAAATAAAGAGAAAATGACTGTTTTTTTAACTAACCACTGTATTGCTTAACTACTCAAGAGAGTAGAGATGTGCTCCCAACCGTACTACAAGTTTGTAATTTTAGCACTGGAGTTTTTGAAGAGAATATGCACATAAAAGTCCTTGAGGGCCTGACTAACATATAAACTACACTAAAGGAGTGAGTGGTATATTGTATCAACAGAAGTTTCTGCAAGACAGAACTATAAATACTTAAAAAAAAAAAAAAAAATACCTAGACCCCTCAAGAATATGAAGGATAAGGATGAGTTTAGTGTAGAGAATGGAAAGAAATTCCTGCAGCAAGTCTCTGGGTACACAAAACTTGACTGAATTAATAGCATTTCCGTGTGTGCCAAATTTTGACTTAAACCACTGACTCTTCATATTGAGATATCCCAGTTAAGATCACTAGGACTTACACTACACAGTCCCAGAAAAGTTGCCAAAGAAAGTTTTCAAGGATACAATACAGGAAAACAATCCAGCAAGGAAGAGGCCTCACACAGACACACGAGTGGTATGTACCAGTGTTCTGGCAAGGTTCAACTCAGAATCCCAGCAACTGCTGTAATCCATTAGTCAAGTCAGGATGTCAGCACTAGCATGAAAACTAAGCAGCCTCTTCAATACTACACAGTTAAGTTATAAAGGTAATTTTTACTTTATCCCTACATACAAGTCTTTATCAAGAAACATCAGCTATTCACACTTTACCTAATTGCAAAAGGCACCCAGTGCAAGTGTGTTAAAAAGAGGCAGAACCAAACTTCAGAAATCATTTCTCAAATAATTAAAAAAAGAAAGATTCTTCCACTGTACACTTTAAACTATTTCATAATGTCTCTGGATTAACAGTACAGCAGCATGTGGTTCTTGGTGCCTTTTCACTGAAGATCAAAGGGGAAAGCCCCATTATAGTGACTTCTTAACATTGCCCATAATGTATTTTTTTTTATGTATTCATTCATGTCAGCATGAAACAAGTAGGTGACAGACTTGACATCTCTATGTAACCCAAGGAAAACCAGAAAATAGTGTAGGGAGAGGGGAGGGAGACCAAAATGGTTTAATCTGTAGCCAGAACATAGGAATAAGAATTGGGTTAGATCCCAGATCCTAAAGAAACAAGAAAAAGAAGTGTCTTCGAGTGAACCAACCTTAGATGCCACATGACCTGATTGTAAAACATTGCATATTTAGAAATAAAATACAAGCAACTCAGACTTACTTTGGGAGAGCAGGCTGTGCACTTGTCAAATGCAAGGCTGACAGGAAGGACATTATCAAATCTTGATAAAAAGCCACGAATCTGGAAAGAAATAAAATGTACATTCATATCACATAATTATAGCAAATGTATTTCCAAAATTCTAGCTGAGTTAGACACATTCAGCAAGAGGATGAACATCATTCAATACCTCTGCAAAATCAGGGTGGTGCTAATTTAATGGCCTCTACAATAAATCTGTATTGGTACCATATGTGAATTGGTTGATTTTTCTACAGACACATGTAATGGTAGGACAATATAAATGCAATATTATTTAAATATGAACAGAGGCACAGCACCACCTGCAGTTTGAACTTTTTAGTTAATGTCAAGAAAACAAATAAAAAGCCATGTCATAACTTTTTTTCTGTGCATTTCCTTACATTCTCTCCCTTTATAAAAATTACAATCTGAAAATGTAAACATTGTGCATTCCCGTACTGAACAGCCGCTGCTGACCTATTTGACTTATTAGAAAAGTATAAAGAAAACTAATACCCACACAAGATTTCCAGAGAATTGGTTCTGATAAAATGTACACTCTGTAAAGACTTTGGGCCAGGGACTGGGTCTTCCAATATGTTTGCACAAAACCCAACAGAGTGACCTGGATGCTGGTTGAGGAACCCTAGCACTATTACAATACAAATAATTAACACAAAACTGTTTTTCCTCTCGCCCCATTTTTTCTTCTCGCTTTTTTGGTAAATGCAGTTCATTCTTAACATCATGTTGTACTTGACTAATTGTTAAAGTAATCAACTGCTTGAACACTGGAATTCTTTGTATAGAACTGATTTTTTTCTATTATCTTCTTAGTTTGCTTTCCCAGATGAAGTTTCCATTAGGGGCTCAGACCAGGAATATGTTTTTAAACTAAAGTGGATTGAGTATTTAGATTGTAAACTCTCTGGAGCAGAGACCATCTTTTTAGTGTGTGTGCGCGTGTACAGCGCCTAATACAATGGGGTCCTGGTCTGTGACTGGGTGCCATTGCTATACAACTAAAATACAATACAATAATAAAAATAATGACTAATTCAATGTTTTAGAGAAGTTCTTATAACATTTTTATTATAGCTGATCATTGTGCAACATATTCTTCCCCCTCCACACAGACACACAAAATAACGCTTGCGAGGCTGCATAAGTGATTACATAATTCCATTATATTTTTAATTGCCACATAACTATGCTTCAGAGTCTACATTTTCATCTTTGAAAAATGCCTCTAGACATTGGATGAAATCTGAGCCCCATTGTAGATACTGACAACACTCAGTGAAGCCAGGATTTCACCCATTATGTTTTAAAAAGATAACCTTCAGCATGAGATCTGAATGTACACTAATGACGTAAGTGGAAATGTTAACCTGTCTGCAGACAGTCTCAAACAATAGCTCTCTGTGATGTGAACTATCCTATTCACCTCAATGGGTATCATCTCTGAAATATGATGGTCATTTAAATGTCAACCATTTCACTACTGAGCATTTTAGCCGAAACGTGCCTATTTGTCATTGATGGATGCAGTGGCAGGATGCAGAGGGGCAGCTAGTTGCTCTCAAAGGTCACCAGCATGGGGAACAGGGAATTCAAGCCCTCCTATTCCCAAATTTAAGTCAAATCTGCTCCTGTCCCAAAGGAGGAGGGAAAGAGAAGACCCATCCCTTCTTCAATGCCAAAAGCCTGAGTTTCTCTCATGGGGAGAAGAAAACAAAAACAGCTTCCACACTCTCTCTACTTCCTCTATCAGACTGTCAAAGCCTCCAGTGTCCCCCAAGCCTTTCTGAAAAACAGCTATTAACTATCAATATAAAAATCAGCAACCTGCTGAACAGTGAAAATTTAGGACAGCATAGACTAAACTGTTCATTATCAAAATATAAATAAAATCACACAAAGGACATGACTAGAGAGGTGAGAAAGGCCTGGAGAGAGTCAATGCCACAAATTATGTGGCAGGAGCCACAAAATTATAAGTCTAATATGTCACAACATGTCCAATAAAAGACATTACCTCACTCACCTGGTCTCTCATAGGATGTTCTGCTTCATACAGAATTGAAAATCAATTGAGTTTTAAACATCAAATCACATTGGTAAACTCATTCTCATTTGAATTTACCATAGTCCAAAATAATATTCCTCTCAACTGCTATTCCTAGTGTAGTGGAAGAAACCATGAACATGTAGTAGCCTTGCTAGAACGGATGCCTAGATTTCATGCACTTATGAGACCATTCCAGTACCCAAGGAGAATGGAGGGTTATCTCCAACACTAAATGTCCTTGCTTTCTAATGTGTTCCATTAGAATATCAAGATCATTCTAATTATTTAGCAGGTTCTACATTGCATTAATATTTACACATTATTATTATTATTATTATTATCTTACCCCACTACCACCCTGGTATCTCTGATGGTCACTCCTGCTATAGATGCTTCCAAAATGCTTGGGAGGTATTGACATTATTACTGCCTTTCACCATGATGATGTTGGCCATTTTGTAATTCTGTTATGCTGGGAAACCCATAACACTGCCACAGAGTACACTCAGGTCAGTTGTAATAGATTAATACTAACAGAGAACAGTAAGTAACAGCATCATTTTAGCATAAACTACATTGATTTTGCCATGTGCTTTGGTAACTACAGTAACAATACTATTAAATTAGCCATGTGTGACAATATAATTACTCACAATCAATAGTTTATCAAAAAAGTGTCTCTCATTGCTCAAACCACCTTTACATCAAATATATGTTGCAACTGAAGGAAGGCCATATTTTAAGTAACATAAAACATACGGAAAAGGTCTGAACTGGCAAATTAGACAGATTGTACTCATACAACTTTTGTGCATAAAGCTTTGAACCCAACAGCATTCTTTATCAATGGGATCTTTGCTCTATTATTTTGGAGAAAAGTAACAGTAACAGATGGACAAAATATGTCATTAGCCAAACTACAGAAACAATCTAATAGAAGTGAGGAGGTCTGGGGGAGTCAAAATCTGGTCCCAAATTCACACCAGTTAGTGGATTTTGGGGAGCTACATTAAAAGCCAGTACAGATGGAGTACAGTTCAAAAGAAAATAAAAACCTTTCAGACAAAAAAAGATAAGTTCAACATAAAAATATTGTATTTCATACTGACAGCAGCTGGCCCCGAATGACTGCACAACAATTCATTTATGGCATCAATTTCATCAGACTTGCTTAGTCTAGACACTTCACTTTAACAAGAGACTGGCAGAGGCTAACCTGTCTACTAAGAACTGAATCATAATTTCAAAGCCATAACTGCACATTAAATTACATAATGGCCACATCTGATACTTTTTAAACAGTGAACTTTATACAGCTGTAAGAAAATGACATCAGGGCAAGCCAGATATCAGGCAACATAACCTATGATAGTTGAATTTGTCCTCAGAGGCTCCTGAATTCAGTTTGTTCTTAGCATCTCCTGGAAAATAAACTACCAAAAAGGCAAGCCAACCCAGGACAAGACCCTAAATGCTTCTCAAAATACCTATTGCAAATGAAGCACGGATGAAATAGAGCTATTAGAGGTCACAACAGCAAGCAACCAGCACACAAAAGAACATACAAGAATAAGCAGGAGCAACACCACCTACCAGAGAAAATCCCTACTCTAAAATAAAAAGAGCAGTCACAATCTGCTGGGGTAAGAGTATGGCTATGCCTATGCTTTAACCGCTGCTGCAGCTGTGCCACTGTACCACTTCAGTGAAGCTACTCAATACAGCGATGGGAGGAGTTCTCCCACTGCTGTAGTTAATCCTCCTTCCTTAGAGGGAGATAGCTATACTGATCGAACAATTCTTCTGTCAACCTAACCCTGTCTACACTGGGGGTTAGGCTGGCTTAACTACCTCACTCAGGAGTGTGGCTTTTTCACAGCCCTGAGCAACGGAGCTGGGTCAACTTAACTTTTTAGCATAGACTTGCACTAAGACTCAACAGGACAGTCCCTCTGCTGGTGTAAATTGCCATAGCTCCAATGAAGTCAAATTCCATTGCAAAAGCAAGAGCCCAAATAGACACTGAAGGCTATGTCTACATTTAAAACCTATAGTGATACAACTGCAGTGATACAGCTGTGCTGCTGTAGCACTTCAGTGAAGACACTACAGCAATGAGAGGGGTTCTCCTGTTGCTGTAGGTAATCCACCTCCCCCAGAGGTGGCAGCTAGGTTGACAGTAGAATTCTTCCATCGACCTATTGCTGTCTACACCAAGTGGTAAGTTGGCTTAACTAAGTCTCTCAAGGGTGAGGATTTTTCACACTTCTGAGAGACATAGCTATGCTGATGTAACTTCAGTGTGGACCAGCCCTTACACTCAGCATGTACTGTGTCCTTTGGGTCCTTGTTATTTATGGTATGCCAGGTTCCATTAGACTGCACTCGTATCTCAGAATTACTGTAACGGTACGTTGTGACTGGTGGGCAGGGATTAATTCTGGTGTCCTCTGCCAAAATTATTAGAAACACGTAAAAGCTTTATTGACTTTTCCTTTTTTGATATTACAATAAAACAAATTAATTCAATCATAGGACCCTGGGTTCAAGCTGTTACTTTAATGTTCTGACACAGGCTCACAAATGCAGATAAGGAAGAAATTATTTTTTCTCCCTAACCCTCTCTCTTATCGCCCAATTTGTTTCCTTCTCCTATTTTCTTCCATGGTATTCCTTATTTCTGCACCTCTCTCTCACCCATGGCCTGGTGCACAAGGCAATCACCCTCTCTTCTTTCAAACCCCTTCTTCCAAGAGTCAAACCTATGTTAATTAAGAAAGAAACGTGTCATGCACTGATCATAAAACTATATTTAAAATCCATACTAACCTATACAACAGGACCATGCCCTGGGTTTATTTGTCTATCCACTTGGATCACATGGTCCTTGGAGCAGGCACTACCTCTTCTTCTGTGTTTTGAACACCATTGGTGTTTAACAAACAAATAAGAATACTACAAAGAAATTCAGATCTTATGCTGAGATTATCCTGAACTCACCTTCTTATGATAGAGAGTCTCCAAACACAGGGTACTCATATAGTCTGTGGCAAAATTCTGCCTTCAGACGTACGTTGATGGATTTCCTCTGAAGGCAGAAGGTGGTCCTATCACTATTTACAGTTTTAAGGAGAATATTTCAATCTCAGTTCTGAATTGTGTGGCTTATTATTGCAATTAACCACTTGGTGGCACTGACATACAATATCTGAATTTATATATAGGCAAGTACCGGTAACTACATTACTTGTTACTTTTATTTTCTATTAAAAATAGATACATATCAATCAAATATTCTTTTCTTGTATTAAGCCTCATTTTTATTACATTGTCAGCTTTGATTTATGTGAGCAGCCAGGCATCACACATGAATGGTGTGGAACTGAGCATAATTGAAAATCAGGTCATAGAAGTTTCAAATTGGGCACCCAAAAACTAAGGACTACACTCCAATCCGCTTAGTTAAAAGAGAAGTTACTCACCCTTCTCACTAAATGTAATTCTTCAAAATGTCTCTCCCTGTGGGTGCTCAATTTCAGGTGTGTGCACATGCCTCATGCACCTCTGGTGGGAGCTTGTCATTAGCAATGTCTGTTCCGCCCACACATGCACTGTTGATATCCTTGTGCCCTGCACTGAGGATATATCAAGCTGTACTAAAGGGATATGCTATGGGCAAAGGGGGCACAATGATAGGATTACATCTACTTAACCAACAGGGAACTCTTTGTCCAAATGCAGGGAGACAGGGTGAGAAAGAAAATGCTGACCTTGCATGAAGGCACTGCAACACAGCTAACTATTATGGTGCAAATGTCTCTTGTAATAAACACAGGATTTCTGACCACTTTGTAAAAAGTAGTTTTACTAGACACACAAAGAACAGCTTGACTTAATGCAGTTCCTTCTTTGGAAGGGAGACAAAAATCTTAAAAGTTGCAATAACGCTAGCAAGTAACTACACAAATACTACTACCATACTTTCCCCACATACGGTTGCATATTCACTGGGCTTAAAGAAGGTAAAACAAAGGAGTGGCCAATAAAGTAATTCTTTAAAAATTCTTCTAAAAATCAGAAAAAAGTATCTAGTGAAGTAAGTGAATGGCTGGACAGTTGCATTGCTCAAAGAGATAAGCAATACACGATAGGATTAGTTGCCATAGTACTTAGAAAACATGGATTCCTATATTTTGACATTTGACACCCAATGAAGAAACTTTTGCTCAACAGGTATCTGGATGGAAAAGACTAATTTAACATAAAATGTGGAAGCAAAACTATGTCTGACACAAGAATAATAACTAAATTAAGGGTTTCTCAGTCTGAAGTCTAATATTTTATGAAGGGCATATCTTAAGAATACAGTTCAGTAAATGACAATGAGAGAAGTGAATACCATGCAAGGTTTGCAACAAAAACTGCAGACTACTTATAGGTTATATATACAATTTTCATTTGCAGAAAGTATAGGGAATGGGAATTATTATTTCTGACCTACATGAACGGCTGGAGAGTACCCACAGGAACAGCAAGTTTCATGCAGAATACAGCATTAGTGACAAACAAGAAATATTGCAATCTTCCTTGCATCCAAACATGGAAGGCAGTGAACAGGAAATTATTTTCATATTAATACTGATTCAGTATTCTTTATTTAAGAGAAAGTGAAAATATAATTCTGTTTTACAGAGTACACCAGCTTAAGATTGACATTTTGATACATATAGTAACAAGTGTAAGGTTAAAACTCATACACAATGAAGTCAGAGCAAATATATTACAATTTGATTTTTATATTACTATTTATTGAAGATTTAACCTTCAAAAAGGTGGTTACTGTTAAACACATTCCCTCTCCTCCCAACTTCAACTAAATATTGTTTTCCCCCCTATTATCCCATTTCTCTTAGAAGGAGATATATCCACAATATTACAAAGAGAAATCTCTCTCAATAAAAGGCAGGACTTTTTAACAAAAAAAGCAAATACTTTTGAGTGTATATGTTTTCACGTTGGAAGTGAATGCCTTGATCATAAAGAGAATGAAGTTTTGCTTTGGCTGTTGTTTCTCCTTATCATCTCAAAAGGAAAACAATCCCCTCTGGATAAATGTAGAAATCTTTATTTGCACTTAGTTCAGATAATATGCATGCTGTGCTAGGAGACTGATACAAAAACATCCCTGGAGAAAGTGAATTGTTTCAATTTGTCTCCTAAAACCTCCACAACTATCAAACAGGAAATATGGATATTTTTATCACTTAAAATACATAAACTGAACTGAATATGTACTTTTATTTAGATCATGCCCTTTAATTCTTTGGAAGTTACAAAAAACCTAAACAAACCAACCACAAGTAATTTTACAATCTCTTTTTGGGACATTAAACTAAAGTCCAGTCTGATTTTACAATTTACAAAGACTCCAAATGCCACTTAAAGACGTGATATAGCCCTTTATTAATGTCATTCAGGATTCCACACAACCTCAATTAGCCAAAGTTCTCAGAGGGACATTGGAAACTGTTGAATAAATAGGATTTTGGACAAAAGAGGAAGCCAGGCTATCACCTTGGAAATGCTGTGCTTTAAATCCTCAGCACTTCATTACAGTCAAGAGGGGTTTTAGGCCAGCTTGGTAGACTGGTGGCTAGTTTGGTAGAGTGGTATCAAGCTTTACAAAGGATTGGACTATGGGTCCCAAGCCCTGAAATGCAGTAAGTGAAGATCCAGATGATTTCTCTACATGCAATAGAACCTACAGGACACTACTGAGGAATTTATAATAATGGTGTTTGGGTTATGCCTGATTCTGGGAGGCAGCTGAGCTATGTTTTATCTCAGGAACGGGGGGCCGCGGGGGGGGGGGGAGAAGAGGGGCGTGAGTAGAGGTGGCTTTGAGGCATCTTTTTAGCTTCCTTCTCCATCAATACTGAAGCTAGCTGGCTGCTGGTTCTTTGTGTAAAGCAAAGCAATCTCAAGACTGCTTTACTTTATGCTGACTACCCAGGGCCATCCCTCCTTTCCCCGAAGGCAGTCCTGGCAGCTAGGGCTTGTTGGGACAAAGACACAAGTGTATACTGCCAAAAGACTCCTCCACACAGATTCAAATAGCACAAAGCAGCCAGAGTGCAGTCTAGGATCTGGCCATATATCTCCTTATTCAGTTAGGATACCTCATTTTGCACTACCACATTTATGTCATGTTTTTATCAAGACACAAAATATGTGACATTTATTTTGTACAAGTCCCCATAGCTACATATATCAACAAGCTTATTTATTCCTAGCTCACTGACCTGATGAGGCACAAGCCCAAGAGAGGTAGGTGGTTCATTCATTCTGTCATCACTGCTGCTAGCAACAGCATAACCACTGGCAAAAATCAAATAAAGAAAATTAGAAAAAAAGACTAAGCCTAAGGCTGGTGGAAAATCATCTTCTGAAATGTCTGACAGAAAATGACATACATCTTCACAAAACATTTTTGTTAAAAAACCAAAACATTCCAGTTTTAAACCTGAAAACCTAAAAAATTGCAGAAAACTGTTGACCAAGAGAGAAAAATTCTTTTTTGTCAAAATTTTTCATGGGGGGAAAAACATTTCCAGACCATAAGAACATAACATAAGAACATACGAACGGCCGTACCGGGTCAGACCAAAGGTCCATCTAGCCCAGTATCCTGTCTGCTGACAGTGGCCAATGCCAGGTGCCCCAGAGGGAGTGGACCAACAGGCAATGATCAAGTGATCTCTCTCCTGCCATCCATCTCCATCCTCTGACAAACAAAGGCTAGGGACACCATTCCTTACCCATCCTGGCTAATAGCCATTAATGGACTTAACCACCATGAATTTATCCCGTTCTCTTTTAAATGCTGTTATAGTCCTAGCCTTCACAACCTCCTCAGGTAAGGAGTTCCACAAGTTGATTGTGCGCTGCGTGAAGAAGACCAGCTCTAGGACATTTCCTTCCATAACCAGCTTACACTTTACAGCCTTGATCTTGCAAGGGAATCAACTTGGAAGCTCCCTTTCAGACTCAGCACAGGCCTGCAAGGATCCCTTTCCAGTGTCAGGGTTTCAGAGACATATCACTTACTCAGACCTAAATCATAACTTCCTTTATTTATTTTTCTTTTCATAGATTTTAAGGTCAGATGTGACTATTATGATTAGCTAGTCGGACTTCCTGCATAACACAGGCCAAAGAATTTCACCCAGTGATTTCTGCTTTAAGCCCAATAACTTTTGGGTTAAGCTAAAAAGATCACAATTTTTTGGCTTACAATGAAGCCCCTGATGGGCTTCATAGCTAATAGTTACGGTAGGTCCTCATTACAAAGAAATATGCAGCGGGAACACTAAGATTAATAGCAACAATTTTTTTCCTACTGAAATGTTATGTTTTCAATACTTCTTTTAAAGATAACAAATGCACAAAAGCAATAGGCAAGCCAAATGTCCTCACTCTTCAAACAAGAACATAGCAAATTTTTCTAACCAAAAATCTAACTCTATTATTGTAATAATGAAGTCTGCATTGCATGATATACCTGTATATGTTTATTAATATTCAAAACTTACGGGACTCCTCTAAGTCTACATAATGTGTAATAAAAAATACCGGAGAGAACTGTTCCTTCCCCAAAATACCTTTTGTCCTATAAACATCCCTTTCCCCTCAAATATGACTCACCCTTCTGGATGTTGTAAAACAGAAGCCATTAGCTCTACTGCAAGGGCTCCAGCTATCATGGCTAATCCTGGTCGACTGACTGTGCACTGCTGATCCAATGTCCGATCCCTGGTGGACTACAAAGAAAAACAATTCACACACAAACACTTACTTAAAAGTACTTGGCTACTCCATTGCACAAGACATTTTTAATACCTGTCATTCAATGAATACAGGGTGGCAATATCTCTCTGAATATCAGTAAAAGGGATTTGCTATAAACATCACTTACAGTGACAAATGAGGTTTCATAAAGGGATAATTTTTAATGCAATAAAAAACAAACAACATGAAATGGGTCCCCAATAACTATCTGCATAAAGCGCTACTCACATCCCCTGGTGCCACAACATCATTGCAGAAGTAGCAGCCAAGTTTATAGCCAGGGATGTTTGAAAAGAGCGATGATCCCAGGAGATCAGCAGAGCCGGAGGCATTGTTGGAACATGAATCACCAGACTCCTGCTGCTTTGGTTTCTTTAGTCCATGTCTCATCACAACAAATGTGTCAAATCCCAACGCAGCATTGATGACCAGCTATAAAAAAATAAAGAAGAGCACATGTAGCCAAAGAAAAGACAGCTTATATGTTTTGATAATTATGAACAGAATTTTATTCTCACAATAAAATACAAACCACAGTTAACTGTTAAAGAATGCCAAATCATGTATTTAATGACCACAATTTTCTCCATACAATATATTTTCAGAAATACTATCTGCAGTTAGATGAACAAATACAAACAATGCATCCCGTTATCAACATGGACATCAGGCTTAATGAAATGAGTTGAATTGCAGAGTTTGAGCCCTACAGAAATGCTGTGCTCAGACTTGGTGGGGATTGAGTTTTCTGAAATGGTAAACAATAAACAAGGTTCTCTATGGAAGAAGTTGTGTATATTTGTGTTCCGAAAATAAAAGGGGAAAAAGTGTAAAAATATACCTCCCTCCCCCTTCAAATGAGACATTCAGAACATAAATACTGGGTCAAACCAATGGTCCATTTAGACTAGTATCATGTCTTCCGACGGTGGCCAATGCCAGATGCTTCCAAGGGAATAAACAGAAAAGGGCAATTATCAAGTGATCCATCTCATGATCCACTCCCAGCATCTGGCAGTTAGAAGTTTAGGGGTTGCATCCCTGACCATCTTGGCTAATAACCAGTGATGGTTCTAACCTCTATGAACTTATCCAATTCCTTTTTGAACCCAGTTATAGTTCTGGCCTTCACAACATCCCTTGGCAACAAGTTCCAACAGTTGCCTGTGCACTGAGTGAAGAAGTACTTCCTTTTGTTTGTTTTAAACCTGCTGTCAATTAATTATCTCCAACTTGGAAAGGGCTCTTGTATGACCCAATTGTTTTAAAGTATTTTTTGAGAGCCTGAGTCTTCTGTATGTCAATTTCTATTTATATCAAACACAAGCATAGATATTTTATTTAAGAAAATGTTTGAAAAGTATGATTTATGTGTCTGCCTGTTTACAAATACAGCAGCCAGCTTCACATCCAGATTGCATCAGTAGCCATACATTTGTATACATGTTTTCAATTTATTGTTTATTTACTTTACAAGAACTTTAGCAGGATTCTTTCACAAACCCCTGGCAAAATTAATTTCTGACTTGTTGAAACAATTGAGCTGCATTTAGAAGTGATATAAACTCCCTAACAAGGTGATTATCATTAACAGTGGGCTAAATGCTGCCCCCCATAGGTTCTTCCTGCCTAGGAGTGGAATAGTCCAGAAGTTTCAATCCTGGTAATTCAGTCCTGGAATTTCTTGGTAATTCTTCCATCAGGGGATGGGTTAATCCTTTCTTCACTGCTTGCATTTTCCAGAGGCACAAACATTCTGTGATGGGACAAGGGCAGATGACTATAGCAAAGTAATGGGAGACAGATATATTAGCCACAGGCTAAACAAATCCCTGGCACCAGGATAAGCAATTGGCAGCTGCTCCAGGTCAATTAAGACACCTGGGGCCAATTAAGATCTTTCCAGAAGGCAGGGAGGACAGCTAGGTTGATTGGGACATCTGAAGCCAATCAAGGGCTGGCTGAAACTAGTTAAAAGCCTCCCAGTTAGTCAGGTGAGAGCATGTGTCAGGAGCTGTGGGAGGAAGCCGTGCTGTTGGAGAGACTGAGCAGTACAAACCATATCAGGTGCAAGGAATGAGGCCCTGAGGTAAGGGTGAAGTGGATCTTGAGGAAGTGGGGGGCTGCTGTGGGGAAGTGGCCCAGGGAATTATACGTGTCCTGTTTCTAAAAAGTCAGCTACCATAGCTGATACTATTAGGGTCCCTGGGCTGGAGCCCGGAGTAGAGGGCGGGCCCAGGCTCCCTCCTGTGCCCCCCGATTAATCACTCAGATTGGGAGACAACAGAGACTGTGCAAGAGAGGTAGCTTCATCTCACCTCCCTTGCTGGCTTATGATGAAAATGGCTCAGTAAGCTGTGACCCTTGCCACTAGAGAGAGAAGGGCTACCCGGAGGGTCACAGTGAGCCTCTGAGGCTACTGAAATCCGCCAGGAAACGCGGGACTCACCGAGAGAAGGACAGTTTTGTCAAAATACATGTCAAGGCTCCTTGCTTACATGCTGCTACCCAGTGACCCCAACTTTCAATGGTTTCTAGCCATTGTAGCTCCTACAGGAGCTGCACCAAGCTTAGTTGCTGTTGCCCCTGGAACTTCTCTCAGATGGACTTCCATATTAAAACAAAAAGGAAAGCAGTGAAAGTCAATTTTCATTAAATTGCTTCCCCACAGGTCCTTTTATGGAAGGGAGACAAAATTCTAGTAGAGTTCTGCCAACTTCCTTAGGGGAACGTACCATAGAGGCGGCATTCCTCATATCACTACCTCCAGCAGAGACAGATTGTCCTTCACTTAAGGAACTGGGGAGAATTGGGGCATTTATAAACTAATGTAACATTTATAAATTTAGGGCCAGATTTTGATCTCACACTAGTGATTATCCAGAGTAACTCCACTAAAGTCAGCGAGATTACTGCAGATCTCACTGGTGTGACTAAGATTGAAATCTGGCACAGTAGCTAAAGATCATCATTTGGCTCTAACTCACATTGTGTTTTCAAGTATGCCAGGTGTTTTTTTACAGTAGGTTCAAGCAAGAGCTATTGAAGTATTCTGAAAACTACTTAGGAACAGTAATTATTTGCAGGAACAGTCTTTCCTTTCATTTGAAATACTATTCAGTATTTTCATTTAATTGTGATTTGAAATGTAACTCATTAAACACTCCTATGTGAAAATAGAAATGCAACACAAAGCAATCTATCATCCAAAAAAGAGAAGTTCTGATGAGCAATGCCAGTAATTACCTATTTAAGACCCTCATTCATGTAGAGTCAGAAAAGGAACCTAACACTCAGGATAAGATGGTTACTTACCTCTTGTAACTGTTGTTCTTCAAGATGTGTTGTTCACGTCCATTCCAATTAGATGAATGCGCGTTGCGTGCACGGATGTTGGAAACTTTTCCCCTTAGTAGCTCCCATCAGGACAGCAAAGGAGCCCATTAGAGTGGTGCCCTTATGGCATTGTATATAGTACCTTGCCGGCCCGATGCCCCTTCGATTCCTTCTTGCCGTTGACTCCGACAGAGGGGAAGGGGAGTGGGTATTGTAATAGACGTGAACAACACATCTCGAAAAACAACTGTTACCAGAGGTAAGTAACAGTCTTTTCTTCTTTGAGTGCTTGTTCACGTCCATTCCAATTAGGTGATTATCAAGCTGGCCATCAGAAGGGGGTAGGAGTCAAGGAATGATTGACTGGAGGACAGCCCTGCCGACCGCTGAAATCATCTCTGGCCTGTTGGTTGATGGCATTGTGGGCTGTAAACATATGCACTGAGGACTAGGCAGCTGCTTTGATGATTTCATGGATGGAATCCTGCACCAGAAAGGCGGTCGAAAACACTCGCACTCTCGTCGAATGGGCTGCGATTGCCAGAGCTGGGACCTTAGCCAACTCATAGCCCGTGCGAATGCAGTCTGTGATCCAGGACGAGATGCGCTGAGAAGATACTGGAAGGCCTTCATTCTATTGGCTATGGCCACAAACAGTTGGGTTGATGTGCAAAAAGGCCTCATGCGCGCTATGTAGAACGCTAGGGCTCTTAGAACATCTAGCGTGTGCAAGCTCTGCTGCTGCGGGCTCGAGTGAGGCTTTGGAAAAAAAACACAGGCAGACAAATGTCCTGTCTCATGTGGAACTGGGAGACCACCTTGGGGAGGAATCTAGGGTGTGGTCTAAGTTGCACCTTGTCCTTATGAAACACCATATAAGAGGGTTTGGAGGTGAGAGCCTTTACTTCAGACACTTTCCTCGCCAATGTAATGGCCACCAAGAATGCTACCTTCCATGAAAAGTAAAGGAGGGAACGAGTGGCCAGGGGCTCGAACGGTGGGCTCATGAGCTTGGAAAGGACCAGGTTCAGATTCCAGGTTGGTACTGGTGATCGAGAGTAAAGGTACACCCTCTCCAATCCCTTGAGGAAACGCACCACCATTGGATTTGAGAACACCGAGTGCCCAGATTCCCCTAGATGGAAAGCTGAGATAGCCATCAGGTGTATAGCCATTAGGTGTACTCTGATGGATGAAAGTGATAGGCCTTGTTGCTTGAGGTGAAGCAGGTAGTCCAGAATAACCGGGATAGAGACCTGGAGCATCTGGGTTCACACCAGCAGGAGAACCTTTTCAACTTGGCCAAGTAAGTTGACCTAGTGGAAGGTTTCCTGCTGCCAAGAAGTATTTGTCTCACTGGCTGAGAGAACTGGCTCTCCATCAAGTTTAGCCATGGAGCTTCCAAGCCATGAGGTGCAGGGACTGTAGGTTTGGGTGGAGAAGGCGCCCCTGGTCCTGAGTGATCAAGTACGGATACAGGGCATCTACTGATAGTTCAGGGAGTGTTGTATACCAATGCTGACATGGCTAGGACGGGGCAAGCAGAATCACCATTACTCTGTCCCTGCGTATCTTGAGCAAGACCCAGTGGATCAGCGGGATTGGAGGGAAGGCATACTTCAGGCCCTCTCCCCACTGCACTAAGAATGCGTCAGAGATGGAGCCCAGGCTGTGATTTTGAAATGAGAAGAACCGAAGACACTGTTTGTTGTCCTTGCTGGCGAATAAATCGACTTGGGAATAACCCCACTTTTGGAAAACTGACTGCAGGACATCTGATTGGACCAACCACTCGTGAGCTTGGTAGGACTTGATGAGGCGATCTGCCAGTTCGTTCCTCACCCCGAGGAGGTAGGATGCTTCCAGCTGTATGGACCGGGCTATACAGAAGTCCCAGAGGAGAAGAGCTTCGTGGCAGAGTGGTGAGGAGGAAGCTCCACCCTGTTTGTTTATGTAGAACATGGCAGTGGTGTTGTCTGTCAGGACTGTCATGCTGTGACCTTGCAAAGTGGCGTGAACAGTTTGACAGGCCAGACGAACCGCTCTGAGCTCCTTCACGTTGATATAGAGGGGTATCTCGTCCTGCGTCCACAGAC